TAATTTGCGAGTAGTCTTGAAGGGAGCGGACTGCAGCAGGCTGCCTGGCGGAGAAATGAGTATACACGGCGTCCGATCCAAAGGAGGGCGGCCAGGAGCGCAAGTGCGAGTCCTTTTCACCTGCTCTGCAGTGTACACACGGTATTATGATGTCACACTCCAGTAGCGTTGCTCTGAAGTCTCAGTGGTCTCCTGCTGCTAAGCACCATTGAAAACACATTTGTCCTGACTATTCCTTCCCTTTTATCCCCCTCTCATCTGTGTAAGATGAATCACTCCTGGATCCAGACTGACTCTGAGGGCAGAGCCAGGTCCTGACGAGGTGGCCTGCCTCCCATGGCTTAAACATTTTAATTAATTTCAACACGAATGCCCAAATGAGAGTTAATCACTCTGCCACAGTGCTTTCTAATTTACTAAGTTTATTCATTAAAACTTTCCTTACTGAACTTTGATTGAATGTCATGCTTTTTTGGAGGCCTTTCAAACTGCCTTGAGGGACTTTAAAGTGATATCTTGGGCAGCTGCTGAAAGCCTTCAGTGTTTGCTTAAAGAAAAGACTGGGAAAATCTGATCAGCAAGAAACCTTCTCTGTGCCGGACAAGGAATCCTTTGGGCAGCAGGAGGCCTGTGAAGGCAGGTTTGTGTTTAAATGCTATATTTAAAAACAGTAAGAGAAACCTAAGTATCTAATGAAAGAAATAAAATCAATCAGCTTAATACCTGGCAAAACTTGGAAATACATTTCATGGTAAGCTGAAGCCATCTTTTAAGTCCTTTAAAAACCAACAGAATGATAACAGCACTTTGTATGAATGTGGGGAGAGATATTCACAATGAGTCTGCCAACGCAATTATTTTGAAATCAATACGATATAATAAAAATCTTAGGTACACAGTTTTGCCAATTCGTTGCTAGGACCCATATTTTTCCTGAGAGATATTGTTTCAGTGAAGGCTTTTCATTTAAAGTTAACTCAAGAAAAAAAGTAGTCTCTAATTAGCAGCATCCAATATCAGAGGACCAAATATTCCACACTGATGCAATGTGGTGACAGGTCTTAGGCTGACATGCAGAATACAGGGGATTTTTTTTTCAGGAAATTGACAATGTTAGTGTCTTTAGGAAGGTGCTTCCTCCCTCTTCCTGCCTCTCCACTCCCCATTCCCCATCTCCAGCAGAAAACTAAATGTAGTAAATTTTGCTAAACTGTAAAAATTCCAGTAATTTTGGAGGGAAAAAAGTCAAGTCAGAGTTAATAATGAAAACACCACTTCTAAGACGCCATGAATCAAAATACACGTTTTCATATTCATTTCCGTGTTCCATAAATACTGCTCAGTGTTACACACAAAGACACGACAAACTCATTTTTTAAAAGTATCTTTAACTTCAGGGAGTAAAGAAGGAGCCCATTTTATTCTACTGTACCTTGAAAATAAAGCGTGATTGGGAAGAGCCCCCTTCTCACGTGCAGGGGGCAGGGCTTGTCACTACCAGCTGGCTCGTGAAGTATTCCTGCTCAAAGGAGCTCTTCAGTAGAATCTTCTCTTTATGTGTTTAATCTCTATGTCTACCGAAACACAGACCGAGAGAGAACTTGTCAGCACAGGATCGGGAACATGCTGCAAAGTATCCAAGAGCTAGGATCAGACATCCTGGCTTAGAATTCTGATTTTGCAATGTACTAGCTGTGTGACCTTCGACGAGTCATATAACTTCCCTTGGTTTCCTCAACTTCACACCCTTCTAGCGGCCATCTCAGAGGATTCATCCATTAGTGAAAATGAATTGCTAATGCGTAGGTAGCACTTGCTATATAGTAAGGGGCACCAAACATTGTTTTGCTCTTCAGCCCAGTTTCAAGAATCAGTATTACTATGCCTGATTTACAGATGAGAAAGCTGAATCACAGAGAAGCAAAGTGACTTTCTCCAAGTCACGCAACTATGTTGCAACGCTGGAATTTTGACCTCAGTTGCCTGGCTCAGAGCCTGTGCACTCAGCACCTTACTGTGTTTAAGGGGTAGAACATCTGCCAGAGGATACAGGTCATACCCACCCAGGGAAGTGCTTCACAAAGTGAGCAATTATTATTGCAGTTAATAAACGCTTGCTGACTAATCGAATAAATCCATCCTGGGAAGGATTCTTGAAATTCCAGAGTTCAGTTCCTTCTGCTGGTCCAGTGCTCACACTGAGAATTCCTAGGAATGATGCCTTTCCAAACTCCCTTTATTGCAGCCGTGTGGAAATGCCCGTGCACATGTGATGGCTTCTATTTTGAATGGGGGGGGATAAAAAAGAAAAAAAAAATCAATGAGTAAGCCCCTTTAACATGTAAACGAGGAGATTAAATTCGGGGAATCTAAAGTTATGGGAATTCTAGTCAGTGGTCCACGAACCTGGCTGTACATTAGAAGTATCTGAAGATCTTTAAAAAATACAGGTAGGCTGGACTCGGTGGCTCAGCCTGTCATCTCAGTACTTTAGGAGGCCAAGGCGAGTGGACTGCCTAAACTTGTGGGTTCGAGACCAGCCAGGGCAACTTGGGAAGACCTACAATAAATCAGAAATTAGCCAGACGTGGTAGCGCACAACTATAGTTCCAGCCCCTTGGAAGGCTGAGGCGAAAGGATGGCCGGAGTCCGGCAGGTTGACGCGGGGGTGGCCGTGAGTGTGCCACTGCACTCCAGCCTGGGAGACAGGGTGAGACTCCAACTCAAAAAACACAAAAAAATACAAGTAGCTGGACCCCACCCCCCAGATATACTGAATAGAAATGTCTGGGGATAACATTTAGGAAGGTGTAGCTTCTACAAATATTTTACTGAAATATATGATTACACAGAAAAATGGACACATCATAAGTATACTGCTTAGTGACTTTTCACCCAGTGAACACGCTCACATACTCCGTACCCCATAGTCCCATGGTGTTCCCTTCTGGGTACTACTCTTCCAGAGGATAGCCACTCTCCTGACTTCCTTCATATAGATGAATTTTTCCTGATTTTTAGTATAAAATGAAAGTGGAATTATGCAGTGTGTGTTCTAGCTTATTTTGCTCTTCATCGTGTTTTATTCATGATGATAGGTATAGTGTTAGATCACTCCTTTTCAGTGCTATATACTATTTTGCTGTATGACTATAATGTCATTTATGGACTCATTCAGTGGTCGCTGGGCATTTGGGGGTTCCTTGTGGAGCTGTTATAAATAATGCTGCCGTGGAGTTTCTTGTATTATTTTGGTGGATTTTTATAGTTCTATTAGATATTTACCTAGGAGTGGAATTGCTGAGTTTAGGGTATACCTGAGTTCAGGTTTAGTAGACTGGCATGTGCACTTTATAAAGGCACCACAAGTGGTTCTAACGAGGAGCTGGGAATAGGAACCAAAGCTCTGAGCTACGGGACCTTACGGCTACCCAACGGCTGCTCATGACTAGGATGAAAAAGACAGTTTTGAAAACAAATTTATTTTAAGAATGTAGGGTACAATTCAGGATTAGATATACAAATGGCCATTGTACAGATAAAGTTTGGGCCTCACTTTGGTCCCCACTTCACCTGGTTTGAGATCAGGTACCCTTATTGATGAAGTGTGCCTCTCCCTCCCTCCCCTGGCAGTTTTTCTCTATTACCAATCCTTTTTTTTTGAGTTGGAGTCTCACTCTGTCGCCCAGACTGGAGTGCAGTGGCCGCTCTCGGCCACCCCAGCCTCAACCTGCTGGGCTCCGGCGATCCTTCCGCCTCAGCCTTCCGAGTAGCCGGAATTACAGGCGTGCGCTACCATGCCTGGCTAATTTTTTTTTTTTTATTATTTATTGTAGAGATGAGGTCTCGCTGCCTAGGCGGGTCTCGAACCCGCGGGCTCAGGCAATCCACTCAGCTCAGCCTCCCAAAGGCGCGGGATTACAGGCTGAGCCACCGAGCCCGGCTGCCAATCCCCTTTTTTAATAATATTATGATAATTGGTCAGGGTTGGTTTATGAGTGAGAATGTGTGGTACTCAATTCTCTGTTTCTGTGATAGATCACTGAGTATGATCGACTCTAAATCCATCCAAGTTGCTGCAAAGTTCATAATTTTGTCCTCCTTTATGGTTGCAAAATATTCCATTGGGTATATGTACCACAGAAAAAGGAACCTGATGGGAATGAAATATTTGGCATTTCTTGAAAACTGGCCTCTGCCCTGCCTTTTTTTTTTTTTTTTTTATAGATATGATACCGCTCTGTTGCCCAGGCTGGTTTCCAATTCCTGGCCTCCTTTCTCAGGCTCCTGAGTTGGGATCACAGGCACACATCACTGCACCTATCTCTGTCCTTCATTTTTTAATTTATTTTTATTATAAAGATATGGGGTACAATTCAGGGTTAGGTATACAAACATTGACTATGCAGGTACCCTTGTTGATGAGGTATGCCCCTCCCTCCCCTAGCAGTTTCCCTCAACTGCCAGTCCCACCCCCCAACAGTTTCCCATTACTGCCAAATGCTTTCTTATAGTATTATAATTGTTCAAGGTCTGCTTATGAGTGAGACCTTATGGTGCTCTGTTCTTTGTTTCTGTGATAGATCACTGAGTATGATCGACTCCAAATCCATCCAAGTTGCTGTGAAGTCCATATATTTGTCCTTCTTTATGGCTGCATAATATTCCATTGTGTTTACGTACCACATTTTCTTTATCCAGTTCAGTTTCGATGGGCAACACGGTTGGTTCCATGTTTTTGCTATTGTGAATAGAGCTGCAACAAACATACGTGTGCAGGTATCTTTTTTGTAGAATGATTTGAGTTCCTCCAGGTATATTCCCAATAGGGGAATTGCTGGGTCATATGGAAGATCAATTTCTAGTTCTTTCAGAAATCGCCACACTGTCTTCCAAAGAGGTTGCACTAGTTTGCATTCCCACCAGCAGTGTAGAAGCGTTCCTTTTTCTTGACATCCTCGCCAGTGTCTGTTGTTGTTTGTTTTATTAATGATTCTGCCCTTCATCTTAAAAGAGAATTGGTTGTATGAAGTTAGAGTCTGGTTCATATCTCAGGTAAAAGTCCTCAGTACTACGTGTGTCTGCAGTATCTTCTGCAATATCACGACATGAAGGCTTTTCTACAAGCACAAGGGAAAAGGGAACATATTTGTTCTCTAGCCTGGCTTTCTGCTTTTACTCCATCCCTGAAATCATGTTTCCCACCCACACAGGTTCTGCCCTCTGCCCGGGGTAGTTTCCACGGCCCCTCCCCTGCCCCTCTTCTGTCCCCATGACCCTCCTCTTCCGGGAAGCCGTCCTTGTCTCTCTTGTAGTATGTGAC